CTGCGGGCCGCTAGGCTTGTTCTGTCGGTGGTCGCAGTTCTGCCTACTTTGCAGGCGCAGGCAGCGGCACTGCCCCTCTGCAGGCCTCTGGGGCTGTTCTGCCAGTGGGTCGCAGGTCCGCCTACCTTGCAGGCGCCGGGGGGGGGGGCGGCTCTACCCTTCCTCAGGCCACTGGGCCTGTTCTGTGTGTCGGTTGCAGGTCTGGCCTGTTCTGTTGGTGGTCACAGTTCCGTCTACCTTGCAGGCTCGGGGGGAGGGGGCGGCTCTGCCTCTCAGCAGGCCGCTGCTCCTCTTCTGCCGGTGGGTCGCAGGCCCGCCTACCTTGCAGGAGTGATTGGAAGCTCTGCCCCTCCCCGGGCCACTGGGCCTTTTCTGTCGGTGGTCACAGTTCCGCCTACCTGGCAGGCGCGGGGGGTGGGGGGCGGCTCTGCCCCTCAGCAGGCTGCTGGGCCTGCTCTGTGGGTGGTCACAGTTCCGTCTACCTTGCCGGCGCAGGGGGAGGGGGCGGCTCTGCCTCTCAGCAGGCCGCTGCTCCTCTTCTGCTGGTGGGTCGCAGGCCCGCCTACCTTGCAGGAGTGATTGGAAGCTCTGTCCCTCCGCAGGCCACTGGGCCTTTTCTGTCGGTGGTCACAGTTCCGCCTCAGTAGTATATTTACTACATCTTTTTCCCATCCCTTTATTATAGTTATTAATGTTTTCTTTTCCTTTTTTAGAGTATATGTAATATTTACTATATAAATATCATTTACTTTATTTTTTAGATTTTTGTATTCTAATGAGGTATATATGAGAGCAAAATGCATTTTGATTCATAGTACACAATTGCACAACTTTTCATTTCTTTGGTTGTACACAATGTAGTATTGTACCATATGTGCACTCATACATGTACCTAGGGTAATGATGTCCATCTCATTCCACCATCTTTCCTACCCCATGCCTCCTCTCCTCTCTCCCTCCCCTTTGTCCAATCAAAGTTCCTCCATTCTTCCCATGCTCTCCCATTATGGATCAGCATTTTTAAAAAAAATATTTATTTTTTAGGTGTAGTTGGACACAACACAATGCCTTTATTTTTATGTGGTGCTGAGGATCAAACCTGGGTCCTGCCCATGCTAGGCGAGCGCTCTACCGCTGAGCCACAATCCCAGTCCCTGGATCAGCATTTTTATATATATATTTAAATTTTTTGATTCTGGGGTTCAAACCCAGAGGCACTCTACCATAAGCCACATCCCCGTCTTTTTTATTTTTGAGACAAGGTCTTGCTAAGTTGCTGAGGTTGGCGTTGAACTTGTGATCCTCCTGCCTCAGCCTCCTGAGTGACTGGAATTACAGGTCATCCCTTTAAATTTAGCCTTTTCTGAGTTATATATATTATAAAGTATATAGAACTTAAGTTTTAAAACCTAGTCAGTGGTCTGCTTAGTTTATTTCCATATATTTCAACTAGTGATAAAGTTGGGTTGGTTTTAGTCATCTTTTGTGCTTTATTTCTAGTTATTTCCTCATATTTTTTGACTGCTACTAAGTTGATAAAGCTTTCTTTAGACTATTTTTCCTCTACAACTTTGGAAGTTACACATTTTGATTCTTTAGCAATTACCCTAGAAGCTATGGATTCCATACTTAAAGCTTAAAGTTAACCAAGGTCTTTTATTCCTCCCAAACAAATGGAAGGATCTGAGAACATTTTTGTAATTCTGGTCACTGAACACTATTATTGTTTTCTAGCATTTTAGTTTTTTTTTTTTTTATGCCTCCAAGGAGACATTATTTATCCAGTTCATGTTGGTTTGTATTTGCCAGTAGTGTTATTAGTCTTTTTTGCTAATCATTCCTCTTATTTTTCCCCCTTTATTCAATTTTGTTTATATATGTGGCACATATTTTAGCAGACTTTTCAGTGAGGCTCTTTTATCCTTTTATATCAAGTCTTTGAAAAAGCCTTTAGGTTACTTTTCATTGCTGAATAATTCAATTAGAAATCTAGCTCTGAAATAAGTTAATTTTCCTTCATCATTTTGAAGCTATTTTGTTTTTTTGGTTTCTCTGGCTGCCAAAGAACTTCTACCAGCAATATGTCATTTTTGGGTGTGAGTAACCTGTCTTTTCTTTCTGGTTGCTTTTAAGGTTTTTCTCCTTGCCTCGATCTGCAGTATTATTTATCTCTGGCTCATTACACTTCCTCAATTTGAAAATTAATGTCTTTTGTTAATAGTTTTTAGCTATCATCACTTTTAATATTGCCTTGTTCCTATATTCTGCCTTTCCCTCCTAGACATTTTATTACAAATAACTTTTTTCATCCATTTTGCCATGCTTTTTTTCCCCATTTAAAAAATTTTGTTCTAATTAATTATACATAATGCCATGCTTCTTAACCCATATTTTCCTATCATTACTCCATGCATGGTCATTTTCACAGCTTAATTTTTGTATGTATTCATTCTCTCCTTTTTTTTCCTCTTTTCCCTCCTGCAAATACTGGGTTTTGAACCCAGAGGCACTCTACCACTGAGCTAAATCCCTAGTTCCACTTTACTTTGTTTTGAGACAGTCTTTTACTAAACTGCACCGCCAACCTTGAACTTGCCATCTTCCTGCCTCAGCCTTCCAAGTTGCTGGAATTACATGTGTATCACCATGCATGGCCTGTCCACTATTTTATTTTTTGAGAGACATTTAGCCACTGAGCTACATCCTCAGCCCTTCTTATTTTTTTGAGACAGGGTCTCACTGAGTTGCTTAGTGCCTCGCCAAGTTGCTGAGGCCGGCTTTGAACTCATGAAGCTCCTTAGCCTCCCAAGCTGCTGGGATTACAGGTGTGCACCATTGTGCCAGGCCTGTCCACTAATTTTTAAGTATTTTAATTTGGTTTCTGAAAGTTGCTTAGCTTTTTAAAGTTAATTTCCTTCTCTTAAATGTCTTTAATAATATTAAAATATATTTATTTATAGTCTTCATTTTGATAATCTATTATCTAAAGTCCTTTGGGGGTTTAATCTAGATATTTGTTGCCTTCTGACTTATTCATAGTGAACTGTTTCCTTGTATGTTCCATTATTTGAACTGTGAGCTCAACTTCATTGGGTTTTGTTTTCCATTGTGGTTTTCTATATTGGTATCTTAGTTAGCCTGAGTTAAGATCCGTCAGTCTGGAAATATTTTCCAGGTTAAGCACCTGAGAAATACTTTTCATTTTAAATGTCAGGATTCCCAGACAGTACAGGTAATGTAAATTTGAATTCCAAACTGGTAAGAAGGTAAGTCTATGGTAATAAATTCTCAGGAATGACTTTTATTATCTGTACCCAGACTCCAAGCTAACAGAAGCATTAGAAGGTTGATCCCCACCCCCAAGTTTACCCTTTCATTGAAGGTAAATCTCTCTCTCTGGCTTTGTGTATAGATATCAAGCCAACTTCTCACCTGGCAAGGGCCTAAGACATTACCTCTAAATTTCCTGAATGGCCATCTAACCCCAGAGACCAGGAACTGTCTTTATTTTCAGGCAGTCACAGGCACAAGGCATCATGCTACTTTGTAATTTTTTGTTTTGGGCTCCTGGGAATTACCCTCACTATACTATCTTTCAAGTCAGCTATACTTTTCAAAGGGTATCTACTTTTTTTTTTTTTTTCAATCCAGCATCCTTTACAAGTTTTGGAATAGGCTTTTTGGACTAGCTGTCTGACTTAAGTAAGTGCTAGAAATGGAAGTCAAGAAAGATAGTTTACTTTCTCCCATCACGTTGAACTTAAAAGGACCAGGACCAGAAAGATGTTGTAACTGTCAGTTGAGGGATGTTTCTATGTAAGGGGAAAGGTGCAGAAGAGGAAGGTCTAAAGAGACATGAATTTAAGTACCTCTTCTGAGCTAGTTCTATAATACGTATCTGACAATAGTTATACAAGGCTAATAGTCTAATATTCATGTTACAAGATGCAGAATTAAAGCTCAGCAAGGTTAAATAATTATTCTAAGGTCTCTGTATAATATTATCCCTGAATTCACATTTGGAATTGGCTACAAAAATCCATTTTTTTCTATGTTGGGGTTGGCAAACTTACTCTGTAAAAGGCTCTAGATACTATTAACCTTTTAGGCCTTACACATCATATGGTTTCTGTTCCAGCAATTCAAATTTACTATTGTAGCATTAAAGGAGCCACTGTAAAACAAACAAATGAGCATTGCTGTGTTCCCATAAAACTTTATTTAAGAACACTGAAATTTCAATTTCATGTAATTTTCAAATGTGACAAAATATTGTTATTTGGACTTATTTTAACCATATAAAAATATACAATCTATTCTTAATTCATGGGTGATGTGAGAACAGGCATCTCGTTAGGTGTGGCCACGGGCAGTGGTTTGCCAATCCCTGTTCTACATCATACTATGTTCTTGGAAGTAAGGTTATTCAGTGTATTTGTTTCATGTAATCCTCTGCTGGCTTAAGAAAGACATGGATAATAAGGATGGGACAAGTTCTTTTTTGCACCCTAAGTGATAGAGGTGGTTGTTTCATGCACATCTCCCTCAAATTGTGCTGTGATAATAAGCAGTTGCTTATATGTCTGATTCCAATGTTATATGTCTTTATGTTTGAGCCTGTCCTTAAACTATAAGTTCATTTAGTAAAAATTACCTTGTCACTTACTTTAAAAACTTCCTTTAATGTTCAAAGTACATTGTGTTAACTGATAAATAATATGTATCAACTGATACATATTGATCAAATGTTCTCATACACTATTCTATTTCATTCACAGATTTTGTTAAAACAGTCACTGGGCACAACATGTAAGCAATTCCAGTGAAGTGAAAAACAATATAGCAGCAGTCACAGGCTGTGTGTATGACTTAACAAAATTATGTCCTTTTAATTAAGTATAAGGGACAATTTTAACAGTTTACTTGGCCCTATTGTTTTTGTTTTAGTAGTTAGAGCACTAGCAAGTCAATACTAAGTCTGACATTCCTTCCTTCCCTAGAACCACTTTGGTGATCTGGATGGTGGCCACTACACTGCTTTCTGCAAGAACTCAGTTACCCAGGCCTGGTATAGCTTTGATGACACAAGAGTCCGTGAGATTCCAGAAACTTCTGTGCAAACCGCTACAGCATATCTCCTGTTCTATAGCTGCCAGCCCTTTTCAAAACCAGTACAAAAATGCAAGAGCTAGGAAAATAATGTTTCCTGGAAAATGCAAAACAAGCAATCAGAAACTGGTAGTTAAGTTTTGCTTTGTCATTAAAACTACTACAACTAACGTAACTGCATCACTAACATTTTTCAGTCTTATCTGAAAAGTTATACACAAAAGATGGGTCCTGGTTCATTGAAAAAAAGCATGAAATGCTAACAGTGGAGAGCTTTAAAGCACTGCAGATTACATACTGAGTTCAGGTTTCAAAATTTGTTTATTACTGGGGATTTCTATCGTAAAATACCTCATAATTACATATATTCAGTAATTTTTTTTTCCAAAGATACTGCATGGAGCTAAACAAATAATTTTTGCTCATGACCAAGCTATGTGTAGCTCAATGGCTGAGCACTTGATAGCAGGTGTGAAACCTGGGTTCTATCCCTGGTACACACAATAAACTTTTGTGTTTCTATTCTAATGGCTCTGAGCTAAAACACATGATGGTAAAATATTTAATTGACATAATAATTTAGTCAAAAATCTGTAAGTCTTCTCAACTAATTAAAGAATATGAAAAGTTGTCAATTTTATCACTGGAAACCCTTGCTTTCATCTTCTCCTTGAGAGCTAATGGTGACATTTTTTTCAAAAGCACTTTTAGAATCTTAGAAACTTTTCTATATGAAGTGCTTTTATTGACTTCATTTGTAGCAACTAAGTCCCTGAGATAAATGCTGTCTAAGCTCCTTTATCATTTTTAATATATCACTCTGAAAAGATGTGGTTCATTATTGCAGTTTACTCTGCAATCAGGTCTGACTCCTACCTTTTCACTTTAATTCTACTCTTGATAGTACTTAAGAATTCTCTATCTGTAGCTCTGGTGCCATATTAAAGCAAGAAATCAGGACAAGTGAACTAAATTTAGAGTTAGTCTGGTAGGATGAGGGTGTGTGTGTGTGTAAAATCTATGTTTCTACTCTCCTATATTGATAACATTAAAGACAGAACACATAGAGGGTTTTCAATTATTTTTCTCAATAAGATTTTAATGTAGGTGTAAATGAAATTCTTATTTTAAAAAATTAAAGAAAGTTTCCATTTATTCTTTTAGAATAAAGATTTAGTGCACAAATACAGCCCAAAGCCAACAGAAAAATAGCTTTGCCCTGTCATTTCCCTAAGAAAGCACTGCTGTTACTCAGAATAGGCCAAAAAGAACAAAAAGAAGTAACAAATAAAAACAGCAATCTTCTGAGTTCTAGGGTTCACAAAAGGACCATGTTAAACTATGTACATTGATGTGCAAGTGTGCAATAAATATGTACATATACATTCCTATTTGCTTTACATCATCCTAGAGTACTCATAGTAGATCAAGCTGGGATTAGAAATGTGAAAAGGCCATAACAGTGAAAAGGAAAATGAAGGTTATAATGGTTTTCAGATCAGTACAATAATAATGCTTAGCTAGTTAAGTATTTTAACTTTGGAGCAGACTAAAAAAGTTGTTTTGAAATAAAGAGTACCTGGTAAGGGATGCTTACTGTGATACTTGTTAAATATTATTTGTCAGTTTTTTGATAATAGCACTGACCTGAATTATATAGTGCTAGTAACACAGCTCCCACTTTCCTAGAATTCCTCTAAATAACCAGCTGCAGCTAGCTATCCATTACCTTTGTAAGCATTTCAAAAGTTGTTGACTGAACCTTTTACAATTTAACTAACTCATAACCTATACCTCCTTATGTGGCTACATCAGTTGCTCGTGGTCCCAATGAAGTATAAAAGAGAATATAAGCTGCTGAAGACTTCACAGAAGAAACGGAGATATCAGAAACTTCATGATCATCAAATTTAAACCACCGCTGTCTTGCTGCATTTTTACAATAGGCAGTGTAGTGGCCTCCATCCAGCCCACCGTAGTGATTCTGTGCCAAACAAGACAGAGCATAAATGAAAATTGAATGGCTATTTAAAATGTCACTTGCAAATGTTTATGCTGTTCTTACTCTCCTATGAGGTAAGAGCCGCTTGAAACTCCTATTAATCTGCTTAAAGAAACAACAACAAGTTTTTAGTTTAAAAAGATACTTACTGAAACAGAAAACAAATTATATTTCTTCAAATTGTTCTTTGGACCAATAACATACTGTGACAAGTCAAGATTTTCTAAAGGGAAGTCCACAGATGTCTGTAATTTTTGCTTCCACCTGCCATCATAGGAAAAACTGCAGAACAAAACATTACAGGAATTACACTGCTAGAGAAAGACATCAGCATGAATCCTTACTCATTTAATATCCAGATTTTTACCCCTGACCACAAAGTCCATTTCAAATGTAAAGACTCAGGAGAGAAAGGACCTATTAAAAATATTTGTTTCATTTCCATTTTACTAATAAGGAAACTGAAGTTGCAGATATTAAATAACATGTCCAAAGTGACAGAATAACAGGTCCTCATTTCAATCCCTTGATCCACTGACTAGCTACAATTGTTATGTAAGTCCTCTACAGAGGACTGCATGCTCAGAACACTAATCACCACAAAAGCAGACAGGAAGATTGAGGAGAGCTGCTCTAGATTTAAACTTGTACTTTAGGGGACACTACAGTTACAAAGTGACTGTGGGCAGACTGGTGATTAAAATAATGACATTCCCATTATTCTTGCATACTCTGCTCTTTTTAAATACCCCAAGTACTGATGTTTTGGTTGGTGTAATATGGTTATTTTAGAATTAATTTTTTGTGGTGCTCAGAGCTTCATGTGTGCTAGGCAAGTGCTCTACCACTGAGCCATGTCCCGGCATTACTTTTTTATTCTTTTGGTTTCAGAGACTGAACCCAGGGGCACTTAGAAACCATTGATCCACATCCCCAGCCCGTTTTATGTTTTACTTTGGGACAAGGTCTTGCTAAGTTGCTAAGGGCCTCATTAAAGTGCTGAGGCTTGCTGTGAACTTGCAATCCTTGTGTTTCAGCCTCCTGAGTATCTGGGATTACAAGCATGTACCACTGGACCCGGCATTATTTTTTAAAATGAAATTTCTGAACTGTATGTACTTTTGAATACCCTCTAAGAATATCAGCACTCAAATATGTTCAGAACAAATCTGTAGTCATTTATAGAATGTTTATACCTCTACAATCTTCAAGAAAAAGGGGCAGTGGACAAATTTTGTTAGAAAAACTGTACAAGAGAAATATGAACACATCAATCTTGAAATTAACATTAATAACTAAGAATCTTCAATACAGAAATGCTTTCTTTGAAACAAAAATTATTTTTCTCAATAAAAAGATAAAACATCCTTTAGTTTTTCATAAAACCAGCTCAAAAGTTATCAAAAGACCAAGGAGTCAGAGCAAAAGATCTGGTATGTGTTTTTACATCTTTTACCATCATTCCCTCCACTGTTGAACCAGATCTTTTTCATTAGTTAGAAAGATTTGGACAAAACAGTCTACACTTAACATTACCAACATATTTCACTTTTAAAATTACACTTCTAAAAAAAAAATCATGTTATTTCCTTTTTAAAAACATGATTCAATCTGTAAATGCTCACTGCTGGAATGTTAATTTTGACCTGCTAATTTGTGTTAGAAGTATACTGTATAACATGTATTTTTATACATTTTCACTTGATTTAACAATTTAGTTTCATTCATTTTTAAAAAGTGAAATCACATGGAACTACATGAAGTAACAATATTGTATTCTGGCCTCATTTCTACTTTATTACCCTAGAGCTGCCCCAGCCAGACAACCTTCTTTTGGCATGTTTCCTTTGTAGCCAGTATAATAAGTGTAAATTACATAGGACTTTGAATTCCTTCATCTATGTTTTACTGAACAGATAGAAAAAATTTCCCTTTTACCGTTTCAGATGCACTAAAAGCACAGGTGGCAACTTCCAGATTTCTATCTTTTTTAGAGAATCCCGTCGAGCTCTGCAATGACTGCAGTAAAATCTGTTGTTATCTGTGAGTTTTTCTTCTTTGGAAAATAATCTAAGGCAATCCTAGTGAAAAAAACAAGTAGCAGATACTCAATAATTAATGTCTTCACATAGCACCAGAGAGCATCTCTTCACTAATTCATTCTGTAGGCCCCAGATACAATAATAACCTTGAACAAAATTCCAACCAAATTGGGTGAGGAACATACTCCAGTGAACAGAATCACAGCACAGTGAGGGCTATTTACGATGAAATGAAAAGTGCTGTGGGTCATGATGACAAACAGGAAGACCTTTAACCTGCACCTGATGGGCCAGGAAAGACTTGATTGGAGGATATGATGTTCTAGAGGAAGTTAAGACTAATAGTATCAACAAACTATTATATAAATCACACTGCTGTTGTGTGAAAACAAAAATATCTGATATTCCCATGTAAAGCACACACTCATAAAAAGTAGATCTAAGGTGAAGTCAATATACAATTTTCCAAATTAAAACTTCTAGAGCTGGGCATACAGGTAAAGCATGTGCTTAGCATGTTCAAGGCCTGGGTTTTATCTCCAGCAATGCAAAACAAAAACCCAAAACTTTAAAAATCATTATCAATTCTTAAAAAAGGTACCGTTAAAAAATGGAAATTTCTAATTCTTTCCATAAAATGTTTACAGAGATGATGGCCAGACATAAATCGCTAAAAAATGTACATCTCTAAGTATACAAATGACATTTTTACCCAACAAATCATTTTCTCTCTTTCTTACCTGTAATGTACATTTACTTGTGGATGCTAGTGGTAGAGATAAATACATGAAGGCCTCAAATGTCCTAGATTTTTTGTGACAGGTGAGGCACTGTACTGTGGATTTGAACTGACCCTGAAAAAGTGCAACAATAATAGACTCATTGAGCTGCTTATGTTTCTGCCAAGCATGTTCTGCAGCTTTAAAGTCGTCGAGATGATCATTATTTTCTTCTTTATGTCTCTTCCGATTATCAGCCTGGAAACAAGATTATTTAGACTATTAGTACCTATAAGATTACATTTAAATATAAAATTGAAAGAATAAAGTTAAACAAAAACACTGCAGATTTAAAACATTTGTAGTTCTGGCAATTACAGCAAAAAGTAATTCCAGCTGCAATAAACCTACTTTATCATAAGTCTGGTTTTGAAAAGAGAAGATAACCCACATGTAGCTGGGAATC